TCCTAGTACTTCATCAAGTAATAATAACAACAACAAAAAAAAGGAAACAAAAAAGAAGTTGTATTCTAATAGAAGCTTATTTTTCAAATTTGCTAGCATTATAAAGCACTTAAAAAAATAATGCTATTTAAAATGTCTTCAATTCCAAGTCAGATTGTCCCAGAGAATGCAAATGTGCTACATTTGTTACTTCTCCTTACCCTGTTAATTTCTTGGAAGTTTACAAAAAAAAAAAAGGGGGTTATAAAATGAAGGACTTTACATTAAAATATCAATACTGATCTCTAAGTCAGTTTAAAAGAAAAATCAAGTTTCACAAAATAAATACACTGAAGCAACTATAATAGTAATAACCTTTATTTAAAATAGTTTTTAATTTAGGAAAGCTCATTTTCCATGAGTTTCCAACTAATTATTAGAGTCAGAAACAAAGAAAATAAAATCAGAGAAAATCCTCTGTAGAAAAAATACACAAAGAACATTTCTACATGTGAAAAAACAGTAAACAGTGTTATCATCCAAGTTATTAGTCTCAATTCCACGTCTCCTAGTGAACACCACTATCAACCTTGACATCTGATTTGTTCTTGTCATTCTTCACTGAGTAGATGAAATATGTTAAGGTGTCTTTTTCATTCACTGGAATAGACCTAAAGTGGCAACCAACTATCTATAAAGAAAAAAAAAAATTAAGGAAATTAAATTTTAGATATAATAGGTTTCGTAAACTAGGTAAAAAATACGGTTTCATCCAAAGAAAAAATCTATGTGATAAGAGCTATTTCCTTTAAAAATTATATTTAACAAAATACCAACAGGACAAAAAGTATTTAAGAATAAAATGTTATAAACAAGAGATAATGTGATTTCAAAGGATCTTTTGGCTCACTCAATTTACTATACATTGATTAGAAAATACATTTTCCTTTTATTTATTTTAAATTTTATAATTGGGCCAGGAGTGGTGGCTCACGCCTGTAATCCCAGCACTTTGGGAGGCGGAGGTAGGGGGATCACTTGAGCCCAGGAGTTCAAGACCAGCCTGAGCAACATGACAAAACCCCATCTCTACCAAAAAAAAATACAAAAATTAAGTAGGCGTGGTGGTGTACACCTGTAATCCTAGCTATTCAGAAGGCTGAGATGGGAGGATTGCTTGAACCCAGAAGGTGGAGGTTACAGTGAGCTGAGATCACGCCACTGGACTCCAGCCTGGGTGACAGAGCAAGACTCTGTCTCAAAAAAGATAAATAAGATAAAAATAATAAATTTTATAATTGGAATCTAGAGTAGGGAATACATGTTTTTACTTTTAAACTTTAAATGAGATAAAACAGATGTAAGAGACCACATGCATCATTAAACCTGCAATGGTTTAGACCTTACTGATAGAAAAAGAAGTATGAAGTTGAAAACTTTTGGTAGTAATCAACAATAACATATAAATTGTTTGCTGCAAATTCCATTCATTCATTCATATCTTGGTAGCATTCTTTGGTTAAGGTTTCTTGAAAATTTTTCTGAATAAAAATTATGAATGGAAATGAGAGGAGAAAGAGGGATGTTCAATGAAGGATGTTTACCTGCTTCCTTGCCTTTTCATTGTGCTAATGTAATATGCATACTACAATTACGAATAGAAGATTAATAGACTTACCTGGGTGCTGACAAGCATATTTAGATTCCAGAAAATAAAATTTCTTAAGAAAAAAGTTCATCCACACAACAATTACGAGACTTAAGACTTAGTCATACAACCCTGGAATCCCTTAAAACAGTGGTCCCCAACCTTTTTGGCACCAGAGATCAATTTCACGGAAGGCAATTTTTGCACAGATTGGGGGTGGGGGAGTTGGTTTTGGTATGAAATTGTTCCACCTCAGATCATCAGGCATTAGATTCTTATAACAAGCGTACAACCTAGATCCCTCACATGTGCACTTCACAAGAGGTTTTGGACTCCTGTGAGAATCTAATGCTACGGCTGATCTGACAGGAGGCGGAGCTCAGGCAGTAATTCTTGCTAGCTGGTGCTCACCTCCTGCTCTGTGAACCTGTTCCTAACAGGCCATCAACCAGTACCAGTCCATGGCCCTGGGGTTGGGGACCCCTGTCTTAAAATATATGTACTACATCTGCACATTTCCACATTCCTTAACCTGTTAATAACTGCATTTCTGATTAAGTAAAATATAACACTCATGGCTATCTTTTATGTATAAAAAAGAAAATAGCTCTAGAAATAATATAACTGTTCTTAGAAGGTCAGTTTATCAAAAATTTCAGGTTTAATTTATACCTAAATATAACATTTAAAATAATCAGTTCTTTGGTTCTCATTTGTCCCAAAACAGGGGTGCCTTCACTCCATTAGTACCTACTGAAATATTTCATCATGGTGGGCAAGATCTATATTTACGTTACATAATGTATTGTACAACCCCAAAAGAACTTGATCTTTTAAATCAAAATTAAAGAAAAATTAATTAGATCCGTGTTGCCTAACCAAGGATAAGAAATTTTAGCTAAATAGTTAATGTATTAGATTTTAACAATGTTAAAAAGCGTTCCATCAGATAAATGTAACTTCTATTCATATTTCATTTTATTCAATATGTACATTTTAGAAAATGTTGGGTAACTACTAAATCCATGCAAAGAATATGAGAAAACTGATTTATATATCTACACTTCTATTTTGTCTAGTAGGCTAAATTTTCTTTTTTTAGAGATGGAGTGTTGCTATGTTGCCCATGGTGACTCAAACTCCTAGGATTAATCAATCCTCCTGAGTAGCTGCAAGCAAAAATTTTAAATATGATTAAAATATAAATATATCAATCTATAAGCATCTTAATAAGATGCACAGACTTCTTGGCTCTATTATATCCTGAGAACATATGCATACTCCATCAACTTTCACAACTCACTGACTAACTAGAAGTCCTCTGTCAAAGCAAACTACAAGTAAAAGACTGGGTAAAAGAAAAGCTTTTGCCTCTTCTAGATGTGAAGAAAACATAGATGTCTCTAATAAAACTAACATCAACAAGGACCAATTTTGAAATAGTTAAGTCAGCAAATTATAAAAATACTGTTTAGGGGATGATTTGTAGGCCTACTCCGCCACTTTAAAATATAAATTTTAATAAGGACATTAAAGCTTGCTAATTAAATTTATTATGCCTCAATTAGATGCTCAAACATTTACTGGTTAAATGGAGTTTTAAAACTAATAGATTTCTAAAGTGAGGATTGAAAAAACTCTCATTCAACATTTTGAGGGCCAGGCACAGTGGCTCACACTGCTGATCCCAGCACTCTGGTAGGCTGAGGTGGGCGGATCACTTGAAGTCAGGAATTTGAGACAAGTCTGGCCAACACGGTGAAACCCCATCTCTACTAAAGATATTACACAAAAATTAGCCTGGTGTGGTGGTGCACACCTGAAGTCCCAGCTACTTGGGAGGCTGAGGCTGGAGAATTGCTTGAACCTGGGAGGTAGAGGTTGCCATGAGCCGAGATTGTGCCACTGCACTCCAGCCTGGGTGACAGAGCGAGACTTTGTCTCAAAAAACAAACAACACATTTTGAAAGCCAGTATCAGAAGGTGCTGTACACAATCTGCTGAGTAGTCATTACAAAAAGGAATTTCCTAAGTGGCTGACAAACATTTCTAGACAACTAGATATTCCACAATAGATTTTTTAACACTGTTCTTTCTAACTAAAATGTACTGTTACATATACTACATTAATACTTTCATTAGCATTTAACAGCCTCTCGGTTGTGCAGATAGTTCAAATAGTTTAAAAATCATATATACCTCAACAAGCTGTGCTTTATTAAGTCCTGGTCTGGTTGGTAGCTTGAAGTGTCTTTTGTATCTCCTAAGTGTATTTACTTGTAATTGGTATAAATCAACCTAGAAAAAATTAACATGTATAAATTAGTTCATACAATTTGTGGAAAATTTATCATCGATATGTATAATAACAAACATTTTAACTTCAGCACAATAAAAATTTACTTCCAAAATCAAAAAAATTATTTTAAAAATTTACATAATCAAACCTATAAATTATTAAACAGTTTAATCTTTTGGGGATTAATAATATAAACTGAGGTCAAAAAAGAGTAAGTTATGTGACAACAGAGCTGCAAAAATTGTCAACTTAAAATGTAACAATTCAAACTGTGTAAATGCATGACAACTGGCTATATTTAATTTTGCTTTCATTTTCAGATTTCTCAAATGTTTTAAACACTTAAAAGATTGTTCATATCTTTTTATAAAGGTTTCAGAATGCACTACTTAGGATTTATATTAAGCATAAAAAACTTCCATTTACCTCTGGGGTATCAATATCTTGAACAGGTGAATCACCTCCATCATCATCACTCCCTTTTCTCTTTCTTCTGTTTCGAACACTCTGAATTAAGTTTTTATGATAATCACATATGTAAAGATGCCTTGCCTGAAACAGAAAAGTTTCACACACTGCTAATGATTACAGTAAAATCTGTCTATGTATTAGTAAAACACATATGCCACAGATAGTAAAAATAAAGACAGTCAAGATGGGCCATTGTTAACACAATGAAATATTTATACGTTTAAATCCTAAACCCTGTTAAAACATAAGATGTCTGGAATACTGTTAAAAGGATGGTGGATGGGGAAGGAGGGGTTGGTTCCATTCGGGGAAGGGGTGAAGGGAGGGAGGGAGAGGAGAATGAGAAATTCCAACCCTCTGGGTTTTGTCATCAAATTGCAGTGAGGGGCCGGGCGCCGTGGCTCACGCCTGTAATCCCAGCACCTCTTGAGCTCAGGAGTTCCACACAAGGCTGGCCAAAATGGTGAAATCCCGTCTCTACTAAAAATACAAAAAATTGGGCGGGCGTGGTGGCACTAGTCTGTAATCCCAGCTACTCAGGAGGCTACCGCAGGAGAATCACTTGAACCTGGTGGGTGGAGGTTGCAGTGAGCCGAGATCGCGCCACTGCACTCCAGCCTGGGCAACAGAGTGTGAGACTTTGTCTCACATAAATAAATAAATAAATAAATAGCAGTGAGGATGACATGAATTAGTTCATGTTGAATTTTTAACTGATAAGGGGAAAGATGATGCTGCCCACACTTTTGCTACTTGACAGTACTTTCTCTACTTAAAGAAGAGCATATTTTAGTAACATAATGTATGCTTTCCAGTCTTTCCAACTGGATGCCCAAATTATATTCCAGATGCAAAACCATCCGTTTTTACAAATGAGCTATCGACTTCATAACTATATTTAAATTTCAGTTATAAACTTTTCTGAATATTAAATTAAATCAATGTATTTATTTATAACACATTTTCCCAAAGCAATCTGAAATTATGCAAGTTCACCTGAAAAGTTTCTCACGGATAACACTGAAAACTGTTTAAACGGGCAAAAAAGTATCACAAATAAGCTTTTCAAAAACTTTAATTACACACACTCCTGCGAACTGTAGACTAACATTTGAAACAAATACGGACTGAGCTAACAGGCTTTTACATTTACTTCTAAGCCAAGCGCAAGATAAAAATACGCAGCACTTGTGGTAGGTTCTTGATACCATGTTATTCATCTACCGCTGGCCAGATCTCCCAAAAGTAGCAACGGCTGTTAGATGGTCAAACGAAAAGACGCGCAGAAGGAGGAAAAAAGAAATCCTGATGGCTGCCAAGGGGATGGCAAAACCGCAGAGGCTACGTGCTCCCCACCATCGGAGCAGCTGCCCTCGGAGCTGACAGCGCAAACGCCGTTTACACCCCCGGCTCACTGCCAGGCGGCGGGTGAGCTCGGCTTCCCTCTCACTCCGCTCCGGAGGAGACGGAACACAGAAAGGAACAGGATCTTCCTGGATCGCGAAGGTCCTCCACTTTCCCCTAGACGAGGGGAGTCAGCACCGCCTGGGGCCAAACACCAGCTTGGGCAGCAAAACAAAGGCGCCTCCATTCCAGAAGAGCTGCCGGGCTGCAAGCAAACTACTCTGGGCCCTCGGTCCGGCGGTCCCCTTTGTTTCGTGTCCTGGTCGCAGAGGAGAAGGAAGAGGGAAGACAGTGCGCGGGAGAGTCGCAGGCAGCGGGAGGCTGGGGGCAGGGTGGGAAAGAAAAGGGGAACGACAGCGTGCGGGTTGTGTGTGTGTGTTGGGGTGGCGGTCGGAGTTGCAGCGACTTTGTTATTTGCTTCCAAACACAGACTCCACGAGACCGCACTGCAGCCAGGTCTGGGAGACCCCGCCGACAATCCGTGCCTTTGCCCGACTCCTGGGGCCCCACCAGGGGACAGGAGGGCAGGGCGATCCCGCGGTTACTTACGCTCTTATCCAGCTCGATCTTCACCTTCTTCTGGGAGATGCTCTTCTGGATCCTCTTGCTGAAGCTGGCGTTGCCTGCCGCCCGGCCGCACCGCTCACCATCCTCCCGCAGGCAGCACAGTTGCCCTGGGCCCGGCCCGGCCGCCCCCGGGGGCCCAGCCACTGAGACCGTCCCCGCGCCCGGCACCTCAGCCCCGGCGCCCGCGCCAGTCCCGTTCCCCGCGGAGGCGGCGGCGGCCGCGGCAGCGACTACGGCGGCCACTGCAGCGGCCGCATCTCCGCCGCGGCTCATCTCGTCAGGCGTGAAGCCGTTCATGTCTCCGAGCTCCCGAGCGCCGGCGCTGACAGAAATCCCCTCTCTCCTGGCCGCTCCGCCTCTCTCCGCTCCGGCAGCGGCAATTCACTCTGTACACCAAGTTAGCGGCACGGTCAAACACCAACCGTCCTGGGCCTGCTGGTCTCTGCTGGCCCCGGAACAGTGGACAGTGCTGAGGGCCCGGACGCAGACTCTAGCGTCTTCTGGAGCCGGGACCCCGCTCACTGTCACATGGGGACTTCAGCAGTTGGACCGCTACGCCTCCGCCTCCCTCCGGCCCCGGGGACTGCGCAAGCGCGACGCGCCCCCTCCCGTCCCGCCCCTTTCTTTCAAACGCACGGCCCCATGGGAATTGTAGTTGTCTGCTACGGAGTCAACCTGAGCTCCGCCCTGACCCTTCGCCCTGCGGAATGGAGGAACTACTAATCCTAGCATGCATAGCGCGGCCACGGACCCACTTTTTTTTTTTTTTTTTCAGTACCGGGAAAACAGGAGCGTGTGATTGAGGTTTACAGTGTTTTCTCTCTCTCTGTCTCTAGGGAAGTCGGGCTGTGTTTAGCTGCTGGGATTTCGTAGAATTGGGTTTCAGAGAAGTTACTCGATTCCTGAGGCGAAACATAAAGGGATGGGAGTGGTGTGGGAAGTGAGCGTGTGCGGAAAAAAAAGTTTCGAGGCCGTTTCGCATTTGTGGAAACACAGCTTTTGGTGTGACCGCGCTTTTGTGGGAAACCCAAACCAAGGCGAACTCAGGAGAATTGGCGCTCTTCGGTCCTGGAGGTTCCGCAGCTAACATCCCGGCTTGACCAACTATCGAGGCAGCAAATTAATAGGGCACCTCCTGGGAGGAAAACGCCCATCCTGACTTCTCAACTGTGACAGGTCCCCCTCACAAACGCCTCGCGGGGGGTGGGGGGGGGGCGTTTCTAAACCCTTGCATGTTCCTACAAGGGAAATGTTTTTATTCTTGGACGCACGGAGTTGGCCGCCTCCTGAGGTGGAGTACGGACCAGCTGACAACAGGGCTCCTTTTCACCTCCACGCCCAACCTTTTCCATTTCTCCTCAAACGGTTTTGGAGAAGGGCGGAGTCGTATCATTTTAAAGGAGACTTGGAACCTCACTAATGCAAACGCTGCTCGACTGTTCCCAGAAACTTCCCTGCATTAGCTCTACCGGCGCGGGGAGTAGAAAGCGCATTTCCTGAGACCTGGCAGGCGCGTGCGCCCCTGCATGCTGCCGGCGTTTGTGCGCTCTTGCTTATATGTATGTGTTCGCGGGCGCGCGCGTGTGTACGTGTGTGTGCCCGCGTACGCGTGTATGTCCGTGCGTGCATGCGGGGGGAGGTGCTTGTGGAGGGCGGGGCGAGGGATGGGCGTGGCTAACACGAAAGCTGCGCCTTTACTAGTTACCACGCGTCATTATTTATCAGAAGATATACGCTGCTTAAACACAAATACGTTTTAAAATATATTTTAGGCAGTAGGGTTTTGTTTTGCAAGTTCTTTTAGTGAGTAAATTTAGTGATAAATAATTGTTTTTTCTTTTGAGACAGAGTTTCGCTCTGTCGCCCAGGATGGAGTGCTCTGTAGTGCAGTGGCACGATCCTGCAACCTCCGCCTCTCCGGTTCAAGCGAGTCTCCCGCCTCAGCCTCCCGTTACAGGGGCGCACCACCCCACCCAGATGATGTTTTAAAATGCAAAATGCCATCGACGCAGAAAATCAAAGGTATCCATTGCGTCTGTGCGTTTGGGTTCTAGGATATGACAAAGAAAAACAATTTAAATATTACATAAATTCAGTAGGAAAAAGAAAGATGCCGACTGATAAGTACTTTGTCTACCTCCTTAAGCTGCGCTGTCCAGCAGGCTGTGCTCTAGCCATATGTGGCTACTCAGCACTTGAAGTGTGGTTGAGACGGAAAAACTGAATCGTTAATTGAATTTCAATTAAACTAAAAACAAAAACGATACTCGATTTAATTGTTGGAATACTTTTAAGTATGTTTGCAACAACTCAGATATATGAATCTGTTTTTCCAACTTAAATTTTATGAACTCTAACTTTAGCATGTGAATTGAGATGTGCTGTAAGTATGTATCAGCTGGATTTTTTTTTTACTTCTGGACTTAGTACAAGAAATTTTCAAAAAGAATATTGAATCGCACATTAAAAATTTTTATATATGTTTAAATATTTTGGATGTAACGGGTTAAACAAAATATTACAATAAATTGTACCTGTTGCATTAGATAACACTGGCTTAAAGTATTACAACACAGCAGGGCGCGGTGGCTCATGCCTATAATCCTAGCACTTTGGGAGGCCAAGGGTGGATCATACGAAGACAGGAGTTCGAGACCAGCCTGGCCAAAATGGTGAAACTCCGTCTCTATTAAAAACACAAAAATTAGCCAGGTGTGGTGAAGCAAGCCTGGGGTCCCAGCTACTCGGGAGGCTGAGGGAGAATTGCTTGAACCCGGGAGGTGGAGGTTGCGGTGACCTGAGATTGCACTACTGTGCTCCAGCCTGAGCAACAGAGTGAGACTCTGTCTCAAAAAAAAGTATTACAACACAGAATAATTATATATTTATGGATATATATTATATATTTATGGATATATTTTCTTAAGTGGTAAAAATGAGAATATATGGATGGGATGGCTACATCCCAACTTCAGGGTGATGCTCATCTCCAACGAAGGAGGCCTAGGAATTTGTATATGGTGTGAAAGTAAACATAAAATATAAAGAGATGAATTTCTAAATTTAATGGTTTTTTGGGGAAGCAAGAATTGCAGTTCAGGACATACACATAGACTGAGTGGTCTTTAGTATGTCAGAAGAACAAAGAGAAGGTCGAGAGTTTTATTAGAAAGAGAAATGTTACTACTGTTTTGAAGGAAGGTTCATTGGCACTATAGTAAAGTTTTGGGAAGCTGGCAGCCTCTGGCGAGTGACAGTGGTAGGTAAAATCAGTCTTAGTCATAGCTGATTGTTTCAGCAACTACTCAGTAAAACTGATCTTAGAGTTACTGCAGGCTGTTTCAGCAGCTGGGTTGTAAAAAACTTAATTCTTAATGCTAGAGCTGTGTGCCCTGGTTGCTTTTTCCCCTGGTCCCTGGATTCTGATTTAGTTGGGTATGACAAGAATGATCCAGATTGTATGATCAATTTTCACACTGGGAATGGCTTAAAGATGGTTTCTTCTGAATTTTAAAGTTTTTATTTATTAAAAATATCTGAAACATGACAGTGGGATGCTGAATTTTCATATTTTTCTGTGTACATTTATGTATTTTTAAAATAATTCATGATATTGTTTGGTTCTTCTGCTTAAAAAAGCTTGTATCTTCTGCAAAATGTGACCGAATCATGTAAATTCAGTAGGAAAAAGAAAGATGCTGACTGATAAGTACTTTGTGTATCTCCTTAAGCGTGCATGTATGTATATATATAGTTATTAGTTTCATATGACGCTTACTCAAGTAAAGAACGGTAGCTATGCCTCCTTTACACACAATACAGTGGTTGTAAAAAATATTATTAAACAGTCACTGTTGCATGCTAGAATCTTATTCTAGGCCCTGGAGACACAAAAGTAATTGAGAGGGTCCCAGTTATTTGGGAGCTCCTTGTCCAGTACGGCAGACAGGTAGTTTAACAAGCACATAATACAAACCTCAATAACATGACAGAGAAAGTACAGGCATAGCACATAGGAGGAAATGATTCATTTTTGGCAAGTTGAAAAGATTCCTGGAGTAGGGGACATGTTAATTCTCACTGCCAGATTTAAAGTATATCTTCAGTGAATCTATTTATTTAGATACATTTTTACAACCATGTTTTGTTACTTATTTCTATAAATCTTCATATTTAAGGCAGGTGTAAGAACTTTTTGATTTGAGTGTACCTCACCGTCAAGGTTGGAATCAGATTTTAGGGGGGCTTCAAGATTATACAATCTGAAAGGTCTTTTTAAAGAAGCGTATAAAATTACGAATGCAAAATTAGGTACAGGCCTTTATAAGGGTCTGTCCAAGTGAGGGACTCTGAAGTTTGAATCCTTTAGCTTCATGGTAAATCTACCTCAGAGTAGAGTAGGTGAAAAATATAGATCTATGAAACCTTAATTATAGGGGGGTTGTTCATATCAACAAAAATACTCTGCTTTCTAAAATGGTTCAAAATATGATTCTTAAAAAAGTATATATCCCTGCCTCTCTTCCCTATAGGCTTTTAACATGATTGCATTTTTCTGGCTTTATTTTAAAATAAGCAACTAAATAATTTTATTTAATTTACAAAAACATATAAATTGGCCAATAATCCCAACATGAACACAATAGAAAATTCAAATAATATAAAAAGGTTCATATGAAAAACAAAAGCCTGTTTTACCTCATCTCCTCAAATCCCTGTCCCTTAAAGCAACCAATGTTAACAGATTCTTGTGTTTCCTTCTAGAAAAAAAATATGCATTTACTAGTATATACATCTCTATATGTGAATAATTCTATATTTTACAGCAAAAGTTCATTCTGTTTTACATCACCTTTCCTTTACCTAGTTTTAAACTCAGCTGTCATACAGAAAATTGTATGAAGCATAAATATCCAGTTTAAGCAGTGCTGTGGTTTCAGTGTTTGTGTGTGTCCCCTCCCAAATTCACTGTGAAACTCAATCCCCAATGCAACAGTACTAAGAGGTGGGGCTTTTAGGAGGTGGTGAGGCCACAAGGGTTCCACCCTCATGAATGTGATTAGCGCCTTAAGAAAGGGATAGAGGGGGCGAGTTTACCCCTTCCATCTCTTCCACCATGTGAGGATGCAGCAAGAGGCACCATCTTGGAAGCACAGAGCAGCCTCTACCAAACACCAAGATCAAACCTTGATCTTGAACTTCTCAGCCTCCAGAACCTTGAGAAAATAAATTTCTGGTTTTTATAAATTACTCCGTCTCAACTATTTTGATACAGTGGCACAAATGAACTGAGACAAGCAGTTATGGTAAAATGCACATTCGTATAGCTGCTATCCAGGTCAGGAAACAGAACATTGCTGAAAGGGCCAGCTTCAGGGACTTGCAGTGGCACAGGGCGCCAAGCTCAAAAGCCAACACACTCCACTCTCGTACTCCTCCATCCTGCTTGACATTTAATGCCCTGCAATCACCCTCATGTAATTTTCAATAATTTTATCTTTGAATTTGCATTTTATAAGTATCAATGGGACAATGCATTGATTCAGGCATCATGGGCCTCCTGCCACCTCCCTTCCTCCCCAGAATGAGTTCTGGCTACTCATTCTCTCCACTCCATACCACCCCACCCTCTGCTCTGGCAGAGGCTGAGCAGGAGGTACAGTGCAGGAAGTGTCTGGTTGAGGCACAGGATCCTCCCCATTTCCTCTGAATCAGGGGTCAGGCCCCTAGCTCCTGTGAGGGTCAGTTTTCCACCTGTGCCCAAGGGAGTGCCACATTAAATAGCAAATAAGAAAACACCATTGGAGGAGAAGGAGAGGGAGAGAAAAAAGATGTTTGTTCTGGACCCCACAAATTATGTAGATGGCCCTGATTAACAACATGCCAGAAAGTCACCACCTGCCCCTTCTTCATCATAAACCCCATCTCCCAGCTAGCAGGAGCAGCTCTCTTGACTTTTATGGTATTTTTTTACCTCATTTTTCATTATAGTTTTGCCACATAGTTCTTCAACTTTTGTTTTGTTTTGTTTTGCTGTTTTTGAACTTTATATAAGTGGACTCATATACTTTATATTCTGTTTTCTTTGGGTTCATTCACTCTGTTTTTCAAAGGTCTACTTGTATGTAGTTTAATTCTTTCTCTTCATTATGGTATAAATAAACTACAATTAATCCATTCTATTGTTGATAGACATATGGGTTGTTTCCAGTTTAGGGCTATTAAAATAATGTTGCCATGAACATTCTTATTCTTGTACATGTATCCTGATACATATGTGACTGCAGGTCAGTAAGATATATGTTGTTAAGATGGAGAACTTCCAGCTCCTTGCTTACATATGTAAACAGAATTGCTGAGTTTTAAGGTAGGTGTAGCTTCAACTTTACTAGATACTTCCAAACTTTTATACTTCCATAAGCAATATATGAGAGTTCTGTATCTTTGCCTACCATTTGATATTGTACTTTCTAAAAAAGATCAAATAGGTATGTATGGTATCTCATTGTGATTTTAATTTGAACATTCTTAGTTACTAATGAGATTATATATTAATTGATCTTCTGGATTTCCTGTTTGGAAGTTCCTAGTTAGGTCTCTTGCGTATTTTTCTATTGGGACTGTGTCTTTTTCTGTTGATTTGTAGTAGTTATTCATGTTTTCTGAATGACAGCCTTTTCACAATTTTACATATTGCAAACATCTTTGCCTACTTCATAATTTGCCTTTTGACCCTGCAGTGGCAACTTTTGTTTAAAGTCTTTTAATGAGGAAAAAAAATGTATGTATCTATCTTTTCTTTTCTGCCTGATGATTTTTGTGACTTAAGTTCCTTATCCCCAAATCATGAAGATATTTTTCTACATTATCTTGTAATAGC